GGATATATATATATATATATATATATATATATATATTATATACCTATATAATATATTGTTAATTAAGCTTGTTGGAAATGTTATATATCTATATTGATATTTTTGGATATTACAATGATAAATAATAACATAGTATAAAACAAAGTTGCTGTCGCTGTCTGACCGTCCTATCCCTATGTATGCTTTAAAACTACTCAACGGATTTTGAAGCGGTTTTTTTAGTAGATAGTAAGGTTTATATATATATTACAGGTACACCCGCGCGAAGCCGGGGCGAGTAGCTAGTTAATAATGTAATAAAAAATATAACATTCATTAATTATCTTTTTGGGTATAAAAACTCATTATTATTTTATGTCAATATATCTTTAGATAGTATAATAAAAGTAGCTTCAGCTGCCTGTTAGTTTAGATTTTTTAAATTATGCAACGGATTTTAATGATAATTTTTAGCGACAGATATAGTGTTTGAAGAGGAAGGTTTATATGTATGTAGATATATGTACCCGTGCGATCCGGAGCGCGTTTAGTACACAACATTAGTATGTTTAAACGGATTTTAACACGTAATTTTATGGCAACACCTCAAGAGAGGTAAATATGTACATTTATTTACTGTAAAATTATTTGTGTTAAATCTCGTTTAAATATAAGAATGACTTTACAAAGTCTATCTCTGATAATAGATATTTATAGATAAATAAATATTGTAACAGTATTTGTCTATTTTACATAATAATAAATAATAATAATGACCACTAAAAAGATTTTGTTAATTCAAAATGTAAATTTACCGATAAATAATAGTTGACGTTGATTTTATTTTTGCTACTCACCAATAGATGGCGCTATTTGTATTGGAATCTAAACTAGATTTGAACGACTCCGAGTCATCAATTGTATATAAATACAGTTATACACAATATTGTCAGCGAAGAATAAGTATTTATAGCTTCACAATATTATATTGTTGTATGAATAATTATTTATATACATTCAAACATTTAATAATTATATGTCATTATTTAAATAATTTTTTTCCGAGTTGCCAACACTGAATCATGTTATGATTCAGTGTATTTGTACATCTACATGTTTTGAACTTGATAAATTTTTTATTATTATATTAAAGTGATCTATTAATAAACTATGACGCCAGGCATTAAACGAATGCGTCCTGCATTCGTTTAACTTTATCAACATATAAACTTACATATTATAAAAACGAAATATAAAAATATAACTGATCACTAGATGTTAAATATGTAAGAAAAACTATTCCTATGGTTCTTCAGGAAGGATTGCTATAACCACAGATAACATAATATTACATCTCGTCGTCCATGGAAAGCAATATTAGACACGGTTTAACCGATTTGGTTAAAATTAGTGGTAAACATAATAAAATTAGTGGTGGTCCAATCAGTTTACAACCAAAAAATAGTCGGCTACGAAGTCGCAAGCTCAGCTAATCAATTCTCACACAAGCCTTTGCTCAGTGCAGGAATATTGCATGTTGTAATTATAATGAAATAAAAAAAAGATCATTTTGTTCACTTGATGTATGTTCGTTATCTTGGAATGTTCGAGAACAACGTGTATAATAATTTTATAAAAAGAAACATAGTTGCTCAATGTTCGACGTTCCATTTTCAAATTGAGGAATTGCATTTTTAAGTTATTTAAATGCTATCTTTATTTATTGCGAACACTTTGGAAAATATACAGGTTATAATAAATAAAAAAAACAAAACCATATCGTCGCTCTATTTTCGATGTTCCATTTTCAAATTAAGGAATTTCAGTATAAGATATTTAAAGGCGACACTATTTTATTTATTGGCGACGCTATAGAAACTATGAATAAAAAAAATTATGTAAAGAAAAAAACGAAACAATATCGTCGCTCTGTATTCTACGTTCTATTTTCAAATTAAGGAATTTCATTTTTAAGATATTTAAAGGCTATTTTTATTTATTGGTGACGCTATGGAAACTGAATAAAAAAGACTATGTAAAGAAAAATAAATAAAACAAAACAATATCGTCGCCTGTATTCGACGTTCTATTTTCAAAATAAGTATTTTTATAATTAAGAAGTATTTTTCTTAAATATAAAAATACCTAATAATAAATATAAAGGCTATTTTTAATTTCAAACGTCATCTACTCTCAAACTAAGTAGAGCTTGCAGTAAAAAATACAATCTACAGTCTATTCCACATTATTTTGCATTTTTACCAATATATACATTTTTTTATTGGGGGGTTTGGGCTATGAACAGGTGCTTGGACATAGCACTGCGAGCTACATGGAACTATTGTGCTCGCCCTTTTTCAGAGTTCGCTGCCTAGACCTGTCAGGAACAAGATTTGAAGGATATTCTAAGGAGCGATGGTTTTTATCTCCTCAGGGTAGAGTGTGAACTTTCCAAAGGGTATATTACGTTTTTGCATGAGTGGGCTACAACCACATAGGATGTGTAGTGGCGTTTCCTTTTCAGTTTGGCAATATATGCAGATTTATCAATACATATATAACAAAAATTAAAATTTAATAAAATTAATGTTACTTATTGAGCTCTGAGCATGATAGTATTCGTAGCCTGCAACACACGAACATATCGCATGTTTTACTGACAAGGTTGTTTGGGTACTATTCGGAGTAACTCTACATATCAACTATCGATTACTCGCCCGATCAGATTATGATGCCTTTAATCGAGTCAAGATATAATCGACATTCTATAAATATTCGATTATAAAATACGAAACAGGGTGAATACAACATACACCGGCATATTTCATAAACGCAATTAAAATTATTTTCTACAGATTGTACGTAATTATTTTTTGATATGTAAAAATAAAAACCAATTGATATTCAAAATTGAAGAAGTCATGTTTGAATTATGTATGTCGCAGCGGGAGACTATAATTTAAATGATTAAGGAAGCATGGCTTTTTTCTTATCTCATTAGTAACATGTTTAATGATCTTTCATTAATAGTTATAAAATATACTAACTATGTGATAATGCAAAATACTCATACATGTGATGATGGAATGGTACACGTGCCTACACTAATAGTATAATATAAAGATGCTTTCCAGAGGGTCCGATCTTCAAAAATGTGAATTTTCAACTCTGAAATCTAACTATACACATTTATCATAGTATTTCGCCCAATTTACATAATATCTTTTTATTTGAATTATAACTTATGTGTTATTCTGATGTATACGCTATATTACTGAAAAGTTCCATAAAAATCTGTTCAGTAGTTTCTGCGTGAATGAGTAATAAACATCGACCCATCCATAATCCACAACGAACTTTAGCATTTATAATATAGTAAGACGAGCTTTTGATGTAACTCGTGGATGATGGATGATTAGAATTAGGATATATACGAAATATGTACATGTAAAGTTGAAACACAGCTTACAAAGAAAGCTGCTTGGTGGCTGAAATAAGTGAAATTGAATATCAATTTAGAGGTAAACAGTAAAAAGTCTTGAGGTTTTTTTTAATGGATGATAATGGATACTGGTGCCCCGCCAGCGTAAACCGTTAGCGCAGGCGGGTGCACCACTACATTATCATAGCTAATAACCATGTATGGTGTAAATCTACAAAAACGTTTTAGAATCTGTTTAAAATCATTAACGATGTTTTTATCGTAATCACATGCGTTTGACGGTGCCGGCGTGCGTTGACGAAAAAAGTTAAAAAACATCTTGCCCCTTTTACTTGCGCGGTCGGATAACATGTGACAGAAGACACATGTGGACTCCATGGGGCTAAATATGGCAGAATACCCGCAATCGCAGTATTAAAAAATCTGGGCAAGTGTGAGTCGAACACGCTCTTATGGTTCCGTACTTAAAGTTGATAGAAAATCTCCGGTATTGTTTAGATGGTTATAGAATTGAGTAAGTTTATATGAAATATCTTATTTATCTCTGTACAAGAATGCTTATATATTCAACATTGAAATAGTTATTATTTTAATACCTAAAGTAGGTATTTTGTTAATGAAACCTGATCAAATAATCAAGTATGCTTTTTGTTTTATAGTTTTTGCTGATCATTCGAAAACATATTAATAGAAAGGCCTTTGTTCAGTTCAGTGGGCGTCTTCCGGGCTGAGATGATGATGATGATGATTAATGTGGACTAATAACCCCATTGTTAGCAATGTACCAAGTTAGGTTGACCATCACGCGGTTCCCCCTGGAAGCTGTCGTGGTAAATTGACATTTGCCAAAGTGCAAGGTTTGCTGATCTGATCTCATTCTCATCTTATCATTCTCCACTGGTGCCCTGCCAGCGTAAACAGCTAGCGAAGACGGCTACACCATAACATTATAAAAAAATAAGTTTTTTTTATAGATTATAAAGGTTTAGTCGAGAACCCTACACCATTAATGTGCGTCACTTCAACTCACGCGTGTACATTGAAAAACTTTGTTACATTTTATTTTGTTCAGACTGATAATGTTTTGGTCCTTTACTTATAAACATAGAATAAATAAACACTGTTTTAAGAGTTGTCACTGTCATTATGATTGACGGCCTCGGTGGTCCAGCGGTTTATCACACCGACTTATTTCCAATTATTGCGGGTTCGATTCCTAGCACGGTACAAACATTTGTATTCGTGAATATCATTTTTTGTATCAGTCTGGTTGTTTTCTATGTATATTATGTATTAAAAAAAAAAATAATTAAGTATTTATATCAGTTGTCTAGTACCAAGTACCCATAACACAAACTCTGCTTACCGTGGGACTAGATGGCGCTGTGTCAGGTTGACCTCCACGCAGTTCCCCCTGGAAACCATCCCGATAAATTCCTAGTGAATTTGTCACGATGGGTTAACTGACCTGACCTCATGCTCATTCTCTACTGGTTCCCCGCCAGCGTATACCGTTAGCGCATGAATGGGTGCACCATTCCATTATCAAAATCCAATTAATTAAAAAAAAATGACTCACTAATTATTAGTAGGGGAATATCACAGAATAATCTCCACTTCCAAAATCTCCTGTGACTCGTAGTTGATGGTGTCTGCTGTGATTCCAAGTCTCGTCTCTGTAAGAAAACAGAAGAATAATATAAATAATGTAAAAAAAACACAATTGTTACAGTTTTTGTAACAAAACTCCGTCTAACCGGCTTGACCGATTTTTATAAAATGTGTGCATATCGGGTAGGTCCAATATAATTAACCGTGAAACCTAGAGGCTACACAGGTTTGATAGGTTTCCAATGGAAACCACTTGGAAAAATGGTCGTGAAAAATGATTTTTTTATTGAATAATAATAGAAAGGTATGACGCTAACATCTTACACTAGCGGTGCACCAGTGGAGGATGATAAGATGTGCATGAGGTCAGGGTCAGGTCAGTTAGCCCATCATGTTATAGTCACCAGAAATTTATCATAATGGTTTCCAGAGGTTACCGCGTGGATATCAACCTGAGATGGTACATTGTTAGCAATGGGATCATCAGTCCACATTACTTACAATCCACTTAAAATGTACTTTGCTGGCTAGAACTCAACTACTGCTGTCAGTGTAACAGTTTCAAGCTTATATTCTTGTTAGACATAGGTAAAGCTTTATTGTAGTTATCGAAGGTCAATAGCCTTCAAATGGACCTTCAGTTGATAGTAAAGGTCGCCCTTGACGGGGAACCTGAAGGTCGCTGTACCAAGGTCGCGCCGACCTTCTTGCGAAGGGCTCGATCGATTAACATCGTACAGATTGGCGATTAATTAGTCGCATGCGATTTTATAGTCAATAATTTATTAATTTATTTTGACGTCCAAAATGGTCTAACGGTTTACCACTTCGCCAGCCTTCCGCGGATTCATTTCGTCGTACAATACAAACATTTGTATTCATGAGTATGATTGTTTGTATCGGTATGGGTGCTTGATGTATATTATGTACTAGCTTTTGCCCGCGCCTTCGCTCGCGTTAATTTATCCCCTTAGGGGTGGAATTTATCAAAATCCTTTCTTAGGGGATGCCTACGTCATAGTAGCTTTATGCATGCAAAGTCTCAGCCTGATCGATTTAAAATTGACAAAGTTTCATACAAACATTCATCCCCTATTTTATCCCTATAGAATAATATAAAATCCTTTCTTAGCGGATGCCTACGTGATAACATCTACCTGCATACCAAATTTCAGTCCGATCCGTCCAGTGGTTTGGGCTGTGCGTTGATAGATGACTATGTCAGTCAGTCACCTTTGAGTTATATACATATATTTAGATTATGTATGTATTTACAAAAATAATTTTATATATGTATTTATATCAGTTGAGACTAGATGGTGCTGTGTAAAGTGTTTTATATATGTATTTATATTATATTAATAATAATAATACATACAATCTCTATAGCGTAGTGTTATTGTAGTTAGATAGGCTTTTATCTGATTGTAATGAAGCACTAGGAAATTGATGTTATCTAATCATATTTTATTTATATTTAAACCTATTTATCAATAATGTAATCAGAAATAAATACATTCAATGAATAATAATAATATATTTGGATAATTCACACAGCGCCATCTACACAGGTACCAAGCTAAGCAGATCATGTATTATGGGTACTAGACAATTCATAGACAGACACATTATTTGAAAATTCATACATTGTATACACAGAAAATATATATGAATAGAAGTATTTGTACCGTGTAAAGAATAGAATTTGCGACCATCGGAAGTAATGCGATCTTAACTAATAGACCACCCAGGCCGTTAAGTTATCTGAAGTAAGGTTGTTACTTTATAAAGTACTATGTTATCAAATTATATAAATATACATTAAATATATTAATAACACATATACCTACCGTAAATACATATGTACATATTTGTGGCAAATATTATTTTCCATTTTAACAAAATAAATGATGAATAATAATTGCAATATTATCCTGTTATATATAACTATAATAAAGTATATAAGAAAAAAATTTTAGAGCAGTTTGAATGGTTATAGAAATAATATAAAATATGTAATAAAATGGTATTATAATATAATATAAATTTTCAGGACAATTCACACAGCGCCATCTAGTCCCAAGCTGAGCAGAGCTTGTATTATGGATACTAAACAACTGACATTAATACATAGATTTTTTTTTACAAATACATACATAATATATACAGAAAACACCCAGACCGATAGAAACCGTTATACTAATTAATACAAATGTTTGTGCCGTGCAAGGATTGAACCCGCGACCTTCGGAAGTTAATCGCCAGATCACGGGGGCCGTCAAATAGTGGACTAATAAAATACTGTTTCTAACAATTATTTATATTCATATTTTATACAGATACAGATCTGTCAATCTACAGAAACCATAGAGTTAAAATAACTGATACAAATATAACAACACGTTTATAAAGTTAGGAAGAAAATATTTAATAACAAAATACACTTGTATACTTGTATGTTTGATATACGCTTAGTTATATCCCGTATTGACGCATACATGACTCTTAACCTCCGTATTAAATTGTATTTGTGCAATAGTAAAAATAGTAACAGAATTGCATGGCGACAAAAAGTCGCCAGTCTGTACGGTGTACGGTTCTAAAATACACTTGTATACTTGTATGTTTGATATACGCTTAGTTATATCCCGTATTGACGCATACATGACTCCGTATATTAAATTGTATTTGTGTAATAGTAAAAATAGTAACAGAGTTGCGTGGCGACAAAAAGTCGCCGGTCTGTAAAGTTCTAATGACTTATGCATTACCGCTCATTGGAGCCGAGGAACTTGGGAGTAGTGCTGCCTTTTAAACCCTTAATTAACATTTTACAACAACGCCTCTATGTATAAATGTACTAGCTGTGCCCGCATTTTCACTTGCGTGAAATTTATAGACTACTAGCTATTCGCCCCGGCTTCGCACGCGTGTACATGTATTATATACCTATATATAATATGAATAATCATCATTACATAATATAAAATAAAATCTCTGTCGCTGTCTGTCCCTATGTATGCTTAAATCTCTAAAACTACGCAACGGATTTTAAAGCGGTTTTTATAAACAGATAGAGTGATTTCAGAGGAAATTATATATACATATATAATACATGTACTCGCGTTACATGTTATTCTGATGTATAAGCTATACTGTAAAGTTATATCAAAATCCGTTCAGTAGTTTTTGCGTGAAAGAGTAACAAACATCCATTCATATTCACAAACTTGCGCGTTTATATTATTATAATGAGATTATTTGACGGCCTTAGTTGTCTAGTACCAATAACACAAACTCTGCCTAGCTTGGAACTAGATGGCGCTGTGTGAGTTGTCCACAGATATATAAATCGGTGTGGTAAACCGCTAGACCATAGGGGTATGGTCTAGCGGTTTACCATATCTGTGGTGGTGGTATATCTGTGGACAACTCTCATAGCGCCATCTATTTCCAAGCTAAGCTGAATATTTGTTATTGGTACTAGACAGCTGATATAAATAAACAACCCTGGACAATTAACACAGCACCATCTAGTCCCACGGTAAACAGAGCTTGTGTTATTGGTATTAAGCAACTGATATAAATAAATAACTCTGGACAATAAACTCAGAGCCATCTAGTCCCACTGTACAAGGGGGAAAGGGGATTGTTAGTAATGTGGACTGTTGACCCCATTGCTAGCAATGTACCATATCAGACCTCCACGCGGTTCCCCCTGGAAACCATCGCGTTAAATTCCTGGTGAATTTATCACGATGGGCTAAACTTGACCTCATGCTCATCTTTATATGTAAACCGTTAGCGCAGACAATCATGATATAAATACTTACTGATATAAATATATATATATATTTTGTAAATACGTACATAATATGGATAGAAAACACCCAGACTGATACAAACACTCATACTCATGAATACAAATGATTGTACCTAATTAAATTGTATCCACGACCATCCGAAGCATAGCGGTGTCCTATACCACTAGATCACTGAGGCCGTCATCCTGATATAAATAAATACATTATATAAATACATAGGAAACACCCAGACCGATACAAACAATCATACTCATAAATACAAATGTTTGTGCTGAATTGAATTGAATCGGCAACCATTGGAACTACAGCGGTGTTCTAAACCGCTAGACCACAGAGGCCTTCATATCCCATTAAAGGTAAATACATTATAAATTCGCTTTTGTGGTTAGCGGGTTACCTCAAGCTAGGTTCGGGCTTCAAATATATTATGTACAAATGATATGTATGTGTAATGATGTGTATGTGTACATTATATATATATATATACACGGATGAATTATATATAGCTATATAACACGTCTGAGGGCATCTGTTAGCACATTGACTTAAGAAGAAAAACTGTAATCCATCACATTTAAAATAAGTATTCTTGTTGCTAAGTACCTGTTATGTCTTACGTACGATTGTATAATTGCAGTGATTTAATCATCATCATCATTACATAGTATAAAATAAAGTCACTGTCGCTGTCTGTTCGTCCCTATGTATGCTTATATCTTTAAAACTACGCAACAGATTTTTTTTCGGACTCTAATGCTGTTGGCCGCAGCTGGCCTTTACAGCTTCACCGGACGTTAGGGGGCGAGTGCAGATGGCACTCCAAAACCGCGGAAGGACTTATGGAGCGGCTGAAGGCCAACTCCCGCCTGACGGATACGACTTTAGTCTGAGGGCACCGCTAGGGGTTCGAACCTCGGCTCAGGACGTCGTTTCGGTCGGTTCATCGGTCCCATCAGACTACGCAACGGATTTTGAGACGGTTATTTTAATCAGATAGATAGATGAATTGATTCAAGAAGAAGGTTTATATGTATAATATATGTACACCCGAGCGAAGCCGGGGCGAGTAGATAGTTACAAAAAACATATACAAAATTAATTTCTGTTAAATTAATAATTAGTAACTATATACATATATATATTGCATAGAAAACACCCACAGGAATTCAAACAGTCACGAATACAAATGTTTCCACTTTCCACGGTGCATGGAATCGAACCCGCGACCACAAAGTAAAGCG